CTCGAAATCTCAGATGACCCAAGACTAGACAATAGGAACTCGCAAACAAAGTGAGAATGACGGAGTCAGCCATGAGCCTCACCAACGAGATTACCATCTGATGTCATAGGAGGGGAGTACTCAATATGGGGAGTCCTTTGGGGGAAACTTGGGGAGTCGGGGGAGTCGTACGGGGAGTCTCATCACCGCTTCTCGCTTGATACCCTAACGTAGCTTGCGTAGCTACTAGGACTTCTCGCCTGTTTACCTGCTACTACCTAGCTGCTACCCGGCTAAGCAGCCAACGTTAGAGATGAATTCATCGGTGGGTACCTAGCTTAAAGCACACAATCCCTTATACCCTTGTTTCATCGATTACCGCCCTGTCCACGGTAGCTTCGGCCTACCTGGTCTGGCCTGTCTGGCCTGTCGACTACCGCGCATAGGCCCATTAAAATCCCACGAGAGCCCATAAAAAAAGGTCAGATGGTTGGGTTGCACCGGTTGCACACGACTCCACGAAAAAACACCGCAGAATTCCGCGATCCCGTCTCGACTTGCGTGCCTATGTAAAGGGCAGACATGTCGACACGACCCTCCGCAAAAAGGTGGGCGCCATTGGACCTCGCTACTATATTTCGGTAACCAATTCGAACGCGAGAGACTTCTTCTAGTGGCGTACATGGAACGACACGTTTGCTACCCAACAGCAAACTGCCGACTTATTACGTGGGGTTAGGCCTGTTCGATAATATTTCCTATTTCTTGACCTCCCCGGTCGCTCTCGGCCTTGCTTCTGCTTAGATAAGTACTGTAGTAGTCTTGGGGCTTAGGTGTGGACCGAGGTGAGGACCGGCGGAGCTGAAGTCACGAGATCCACACCGTCACCTGTTCTTAAACATTTCGCCCCGGGATTACTAGGGCGTAGAAAAATCAATAGGCAAGAAAGCACGAAATACGGGGTTTCAAAACGCCAATGAGAACGACAACGATATGGACGATTAAAAAAATTTTGCGGCGAAAAGACAAGCATCGGAATAGCGGCGCTAAGCTTTTTTACAACTTAGTGCCCGTCAACCGTTGCCATATACGTCATCACGAGCAGGCATAAATTGTCTAGCCTCCTGCGAATGGCGAGGATTCAGGGGCTAGTCTTCTTTTCTAGTCCTTGCGCTCGCTTGATTCCTAACCGTATTTAAGTCTAGTAAGTCTAGGCAAAAGCCACATCCGGCGCTTCTGCGTACGATCTCTTGCGACTTGGCCACTCCTCTGCCGACGCGGCGGCTTTCCCGTTTCTCTTCGAAAAGTCGCCGCAACATGGATCATGACCTTGGCACGCGCTGAATCGCGAGCTATGTACCTGGAGTTAGCAGAGTTAGTTCGACGACAAAGTCGAGAGACCTTAGCGTGATCGTGACCTCACCGAATGGCCCACCAATTCGAATCGACTTCGTTGGAACTAGTGTATTGGAATTACTCGAGCTGTCGAGTCAAGCTTTTTGTCTTTCTTGTGCCAGGATTCCAATCCTTGTATCCATGATAGCGTCCCTCGTCATTATCTGTTATTTTATGCAAACAATTCATATTCGATTTTTCTGTGGTTTCTTGAGGATTCCAATGTAGCACTTGGGGGAAAATTCGCTCAATCTTAAAAAAAAATGACTAAAATCGATGAGCGGCGTTTCTCCTTGGTATCGCGAACGACTATCGTTGCCCTATAAGTATGTCGGTCATTTATTGTTAGACGCTATCAAGGCTATGGTCCGCATGTCCGCCCCATGCTTTTCGGTCCGGGATACTATGTTGGTTCCGCCAATCCTTACGCCAACCAGTGAACAATCTGACAATCGAACAATCGAAATACCCAGTCGAGCCTAGTCGACTTTTTACGCATGTGCCTCCGACGTGCTTCGCGACGAGTTATCCTACGCTGGGTAACCCGTTCCAAGACCGGTTCTCACATATTTGGAAATAGTTTGGCCTCTAGAATATTGGCGAAGTTTCAAGTTTTCTTGAAGTTTTTTCCTTCGCTGTTCCGCACTATGGTAGACATACCACAGTCACTAGACTTTAAAATAACAAACCGAATTCCATGCCACAACTTCGAACGAATACCGACACTATATTGGGTTAATAAGATTCCCGTCAGATGACGATAAGCATTCCAAGACGTCATCGGCGGAAATTATAAGGTTAAACTAGTTAAAAAGCTACCTTACGGAGACGGCAAATGGCGGGTTATCACTACCCCCTTCTCCAGACTCGACTCCAAGTTAATGGGGAGACCGATCCTGAGACGCTTCCTGTCCGCGTTCGGTCAACACCAGCTACATACAAGAGCGGATACCCATATCTTCTGCTACCGGAATATTAACAATTGGAATGTGGAGTTGATCCGAACAGGAGCCCGAGAGGTTAGCCGGGATGGTTTCTTCCGCATGCCACAGCCTAACTTTTAAGCGAAGCGCGGACACTTTAGGAGCCGCAACTAGACCTCCTTAATTTTTGCTAACGTAACGTGACTTCGCCCAGGCTTGTTGGGTTGCCCGCTGCATTAGTTGGGATGGTATCAGTCCTTAACAAGTTTCAACTTCGTAGGAACCGGCGTATTAACGATCACAGCGAACCAAAAACAGGAGATAGAGTTGCCACCAACAAATCGACACTGACAAATAATAACGAATCCAGTATCTTGGGGTAGACGCTAAATTGAGCGATAAAAGTCGACAGTACATAAGGGTACGACAATGAGCTCTGCTGGTCAGAGTACCTAGCGTAGTACCGGCTACGAAAACACAGACTATATAGTACGGATACCCATGAGAATATGGCCGAGTTAAGCGTATCCGTAAGATGTAATAGGATATAAGGACTCGACGGCTGAGAAAAGGTCGGTAAATGAAGTGATAGTCCAGTGAATTATTACATTCATTAATATCTTGTCTCGTACCGGTATAGATTATGATTACCGGAGCCTGTGGGTCTTTCGTAGAAATGTATTTCTCATCATGTTGCACCAAATCTCTTCGACCCGTAGCATTGGAAAGTGGTAGCTCTTCCAACCGCTCGGAATCGGTCAACGTCACGGGATCTAAAGTTCCCTCTCTCTGGCTCATGGGTCGACTCTGATCCCCTTGAGGAAGCTATCTTTGAGTCTGGACCGAGTCCCCTCACCCACTCTCGGTTGAGACGAATACATGCAAGACATGCATAGCTATCTACGCCCTCCGACCGGTAAAGCAAATGGGACGGGCTTCGGAATAAGTCCAGAACTCGTAGCCTGCAGGACGCGGGCTTGCGCAGTATGCAAGAGGCGAACGTTAGACAAGGACGAGCCTGCATATAACTGCGGCCGCCATAGGGTGGGCAAGACACGTTGACGCTTACACCCCCTCTCCCCCCAACGAGACGAACTTCGAAGCCGAATACTAAGGCAAGATCTACCAGGCACAATCGTTGCTACACAGTCAGATGTCAGATTCAGATTTGTGGGAAATCTTGACTAGTATTACCGCCCACGTCGCTGCGCTTACTTGGCGTCAGACCGGCCAAAATATTTCCGCCCGCGATGCATGACTTTTAAGATTACCCATAAACAACCGTTACACGTAAGTCGTGGCTTACTTGAACATAAAAAATAGGTCAGTCATATAGGTTCGATAGATAAAAATTTGTCCAAATATATTACAAATAAGATGGCCGCGGTGAACGTGAATTGCAGACTACTCTATATCACGAGTGGCTTATCGGGTATTTGAATAGGTTGCACCAGAATGAGTAAGCTGACTTGGCGAACGACGACAATTTTCAATATCGTAGCGAAGTGGCACAAGATATCGGGTTCAGCCTGGTAACCAAGGACTGCCGGGAGTGACCGTGGCTTTATTTGGGGGCGCGACGGTGTGTAATACTGATGGCACAGTAACTACGAGACCGTGCCACGGCTTTCTGTACTGCATTGAACGACATTCCCAATCAACCTAATCAGATCGAGGCCAGGTCTATAAATCAATATGAAATCCAATCGTTCTAGAAACCCGCTCGCTCTTACGATTGATTACAGTTAGGTAGTTCGAGGCCTCCACGGCAATTTAGCAGCCCCCAAATCTCTTTGTCGTAGCTAGTCTCAATTATGAAGACCCCTATCCGCACTTACCACTCAGCTTAGATTTCGTTACGGTTGGGTTGGATACGTGATTTATACCGACAGATCATATTCGCAACACTAAGCATTACCGACGATAACATCCGTATGTAGACAAAATGCTGTGATGTTTTTTTAAACACGTTATCTGATGAAACATCATCTCGCTCCTTAGGTCCTCTTTGGGGTTGAGACAGCAGGCGGCAAGACGGCAAGCCAGAAGGTCGAATATACGATTCGCAAGCCTCAAGCATTAGGTACATATATCGTTCCATCTCAAACCGTAGCACTCATGCAGTAACACAAGACGTGTAATAAGACCGCATTCGAGGCCATTCGTAATTTACAATTTTCAACTCCAAACAATCCTAGGGGTCTTACAGAATAACCAGCCTCCCCATGCAATAGCGATCCTGGTATACTTGCTCCAAATAGACGCTAGCCCTGCAGTCAAGCAAGGGTGGCGGCACGGGTGATCTTCGACGCTCTGGATCCTTTTGAATCCTTCCCGAACAATCGCGTATGCAAGTTCTAATTTATCGATTCGAGATTGGGCAGTCCGTAACTCGTATCATTTCGGACGTCTGTTCCGTGCGTGTGGACTGATTCCCGTAACTCCATTCGGACCTGTCCGCCGGCCTTGCATACCTAACTATGTAGGTAAGTAGGTACGCCGTCGTCGTTGAGAGGTTGATGTTTTCGACGGTGGCGACGTACCATGGTTGGTTGATCTTAGTTGTCCGCATAAGGGGCGAATCTGGTGGCAGACGAAGTTCGCGATGAGATCTCGTGGCCGATAGAAGATTACGGGTTTTTATTCGACTAGGGGTTGAGTCGTCACGGATTCCGATGTCTTACCTAGGTCGGGAATCACGGCGCATGTTGCCGCAATGGGCTGACAGCGACAATAACGTAAGAAAGTAATAACGCAGCCAGTTCGATATCATCCGGGACCGACTAAATCGGCAGAACCCTAAATGTGCACAAAATGAGGGGAAGATGAAAGGCTTAAACTACAAGTCCCTTTCGAGTGCTCATGGCCGGTCTCCGCGCGGAGGAAATGGAAAGAATTGTCTCGTCTCGACTCGCTGATATCAAACTAAAATTTACAAATGGGTTCTTAGAATATGCGTGCAGCACTGGATTGCCAACTATCAAAGTACACATCTTTGAATTCCTGATTGTCGATAGTGGTTTGGGCCTTCGTAAGCTCGGGATCGACCCCCTTTTCAGGGTCCTCTTCAATAGGCTCGCGAATCGTGTTATTTTCGACTATACACTCTGGCTGACAGAGAGTAGGTAACGATGCAGCGCGAGGCGGTCTCTTGCTCACGTGCCATTTTTGATTCACACCGGTACACTCCGGGATAGAACCCTGGGGTACTTCAACTAGACCACCGTCGGGTCCGGGGACAAAATGGCGGGCAGGAAGGATCTCAACTTCGTAAACAGGCTGGATTCGGTGGTATACATCATGGTTATGGATGTCACGATATATCTGTTCTTCCAGAATCTCGTGCGCCTGCGGGCGAATAGTTTCGTGCGTAACCGCTAGCGGAGATATTTAGTTAACTAGATTTCCTGTAGTTATTACAGCGGGCCAGACTCACCTGGAGCATAGGTAACAGTCTCATCGGTATCTACAGTATCCCTAAGGTCTATGACGGTCCTCTCACCCTCTGCATCACTACGTTCTCCTGGTCGAGTAGTGTTATCCTCCTTGTCAAGTAACTCTACTGGACGGCTCGTTTCCCTCGTAGATTGAGATAATTGTCCGTCTTTACTGTTCCGTATTTCCGTTGACGACTTTTTGGATCGCTCTTTTGTGCTAGGCATTTTATCAGAGTGAAATTGCCCGGGCGTATCTCTCCTAGGATTCTTTACTAACACATTTCTATGACGCTCCGAGATTTTCTCGATCGACGTTCGTGAGTTTGGTTGTCCTCCGACGGAACTACTTGTATTTGTATTTGCTGGATGCTGAGAATCGGAACTCTTGTGTTCGTCGGTGTCATGTTCCACTGCGCCCTCATTACAGCTTGATAAATTAAGACCGGTGATACGTCGATCCTCTTTTATAGTCCATTGATCCCCGTAAGACCCAAGGCTTCGTCGGGTGCCCGACAGCCTCGCCGCATTCCTCTCAGGGGGGACCGGAGTTTCCTCGCCGTAACTTCGTCTCCTAAGCAGGGTCTTAAGTCGACGCATGGTACGGGGAATAGACTCGTGAGTAGAAATAATGAAATAAAAGCTCCAATACCTCTTTAGGCAATACTAGGGTGCTTAAGATTTGCCTAATCCGCCAAAACGAAAGGGCAATTGTTTTCTTAGAGCTAATCTGAGTGCTGCTGTAAGTTGTGTTTGGTAAGTTGGAAGGATATGCGTGGATCATAACATCATCTCTAAATCCGTCATGACGAGTGGGTAATTCGTGGGTTTAAACGTCACCATGCGTTGCTAAATTTGGGAATTACAACTGGCTGGCATAGTAAGTTTAGATGGAAATTATTTGAACTTAGTGAGTAGGTCTCCAGGCTCCTCTCGAAGGTTTCCGCAAAGCCGCATCTAATAAAGGCTGTGCAACAAGCGCCTTGGTTTACCTTTAGGTAAAGAAGACCAGAGTCTGGAGTTCACGATGGTTCGGGCTAAGATCTATTACGACATGGCCGAGTCAATCAAAGCATTTCTGAGACTCTGATTCGCGAGAATCGAGGAATTTGACTCTCACTTAGCACTGGCACGCAGCCGTCTCGAGTTGAATAAATCTGTCGCGAGGATAGTTACTCGCTGAAGAAAAGATAGCACTGCATCCGGATATGCTCAGAATGCAAGACGTCATTATTTTCAACAGCATAGCAACCGTTTATGCTACTATATCCTCTGGTCATAATCACATGGTGGCATAAGCTGCGTGTAGCATTGGATTCTTGACGTACATTCCTCCACTTCGCCGAACCCACTCGTCCCGTCCGGTTCAGCCGCATCGACGTGATTGGATATTCTAGTAGATAATGGCCTAATTCGGTAACTCCCGACTAAGGACGAATATTGACGGCGACTCTGGAGTCTTGCTGTCCATTACGTCGATCATTTATCTATCTCATTATATATAACCCTTTCTTTTCAGCAATGTTATATCGTTAAATTCTTCTTCATCCAACAAATTCCATCTATCTAACATCTTTCAACATTTTCTATCCAACGTCTTCCATCTCTATTCGCCACCCATCATAAACTTATTCAATATGAACAAGACTAAGGAAGTAATTCGTGACTTCGTCGGCAAATCTGGCCACCATGATACTACCGTACACGAATCGGTTGAGCCAGCTGTTAAGAAGGAAACGATTAAGCCGAGAGAACATGAGGAGGTTAATACCGCTGTGAATAAGGAAATCCACCAAGATCATTATCACCGTACTGTACAGCCAGTTCACGATAAAGAGATTCTCCCCGAGCAGCATCAGCACAAAGTCGGGGCGGTCCAACATCGAGACTACGACCACAGGGACCACGATACCACAAAGAGGGCATTGGCCGCCGAGAATGCAAAGTTCAGAGACGAACAAGTCGTCCAAGATACCAAACATACTCAAAGTCATGCCCCTACAGTCCAGGGCGAGCATGTTCACCAGTAAGTTCTCCTTATCGAACAGTTGATTGGTGGTGTAGACCTAACGCCTCAAAAGCCATGTCCACGAAACAGTACAGCCTGTGCTTCACAAGGAAACAATTCAGCCCAGTGTAGTCCATACCACGGTGCCAATTCACGAGACTCACCACAATCCTGCTCAGCACCACTCTACAACCTCTTTACCCCCAGTCAGCGCAGAAGAATACCGACAGCGCGGAGGCGCGTTAGCTGGGGAAAAGGAACGCTTTGACGCGTTCGAAGGTGAGCCGAGGACTATTCGAGGGACCCTCGATACTATGCATGAGAAGGGTCACGGCATGAATAACCCCCCGGAGGGTGTTTTTCATGGAGATTTCAACCCCCTGGATGGAGGTCGAGACCACCAGGTATTTGGCAAGTCGACTGGCCGGGCTTCTACCACAAGCACAGGCGCAGGTGTAAACCAAGGCATGTCTAACCAATCTTCTGCTCAGAGGGAATATCGCGATACCACTAGGGGAGCATCGGATAATCTGGAGACAGAACGCTACTCCAACGCTTCCAAGACCACAGGAGCCACGGGTGCTGCGGGAACTACAAAGGAACACCCGAGCCTTCTAGACAAGTTGAATCCTATGACAGATTCAAATGGAGACGGAAAGGCTGGATTTATGAAATGATAGCAACGAATTGGAGGTTTCATGGTGCCTAAAGCGTACCTACTGACGTGGGGAGATTGGACTAATTTGGAGCAATGGACATGCAATATTAACTCGGTGCGATAGTCTTTGTAGCAAACTAGGTACTTCAACCTGAGATTTTTAGCCATTTAGCTGTTATGGGTGATTAAAGAGTGCTATTAGTTACATCTTTGATAGAACTCTTAATGCTCAGACGAACAATTAAACATGAATCCATCATGAAATCAAGGCCGTTAAAAATGGATTCAGATATCATGGTAGTGAAAAAATTACCTATCAGGTAACTTGGGCACTCTTAAATTCCAAATGACATAATACCACCCGAGATTTGCAATCTAACCCAGGTTCGGAATTAAACATCTGTGACTTACATCCATCTTATCATAATCGGGATTATCAAGTTTTTTTTCTCATCCCCGACATCATATGTGTTGTAGAATATGCCGCCCCTCTGCCAAGCAAGTCGGATTTTGGAAAAGTCCAAGGCTTTAAGGCCGTCGCTTAAGCGCCAAGTAACCTTAAAACCCATCTCTTTGGGTTTGATTTGTTTAAACCAATCATCTGTGCAATTCCCGAGTAGTATACGGGGTTTACTGCCTCTATTGAATGTTGGATTGCCGTTGTTGAGTGGAGAATTACATTACCAAGAGTCCTAAGAGGAATCAAGGGTCGTGTATCATGTACGATAATGTATATCGCTACCATATAGACGGAACTTAGATAATATATATTGAATACCTTAGGGCAACTGTAAGGACTAGAAAAACCAGTCAGGGGATCGACAACTGAGGAAAGTTACAACCGTCGGAATAGCGAGATTAAAAAAATTGTATAAAGCCGCTACGATTTGAATCGTACGTGGTGAAAGTACGCAGGATGACGCCATGATCCTAATAAAAAGTCTGGATGTAGGGCGATATCGTGACTAACAAGATCGGATCCGGAAGAAATGGGGAACTACCATTCGCGTCATTCATGGCGAACGAGATAGTCATCTCCGGGACGTGACGAGTAATACATAAAGTAGCCTGCTGCCTGGTTCATGGTTAAATAAGTCTCTGTCTGCGACCCTGCTTGGACATCATAAGACCGAAGCATCGAGATAGTGTTAAAGGCAGACGTTGAGCACTTATCTCTGTTCCTACTTTCTCATTATTCAGTCTGCGTATACAGGGTTAACATAGATCCTACCTTCACCAAAATGCGCTCCCTTTCCTTATTGCCCATGTTAATGGGCTTGCTAAACACAGGACTAGCCCAGAGTATGCGTATCCTTTTGCAAGACGATAAACTTGAAGAGAAGGCTAATATATAACATATAGAGCAAAATGTTGAACTGATAGATCCAGTAAATCGCTTCAAAGATATGGATTTGTCACCTCCAGCCCAAGGTTTCCCTATCTTGCAGACCAGCTTCGATACGCGCCCAGACTGCGGCGAGGACAGCTACAGAGGAACGGGCCGCCTTCAAGGCCTCAAAGCTTTAATAACGGGTGGAGACTCGGGAGTTGGAAGATCAGTCGTCATCGCATTTCTCCGCGAGGGAGCTAATGTGGCTATCAACTATCTTCCGGAGGAAGAGCCTGACGTGGACGACCTTGCCGATTTCCTGAGCGGCGAAGGATTATCATTCCAGCGCATTCCTGGAGACTTACTAAACGAGACCTTCTGCACGGAGTTAGTCCACGAGGCGGCGGATCGTCTTGGAGGGATTGATATCATGGTTCAAAATGCGGCGTAAGCTAACGAGCTAATCCCAGGGCATAAATATGGATTTGACTAACGGGGCTGCTAGATACTCCGGGATCCTCTCAGGCTCAAAATGGCAACCTATCACGAATCAGTCTACCGAACAACTCGAGCGGATCTACCGCACCAACGTCTTCGCGAACTTCTTCCTGACCCGCGCGGCCGTGCCCCTACTACCGCGAGGTGGCAGTATAATCTTCACCACTTCCAATATCGTCAACTCACCAGACAGCAACGCGGTAGACTACGGCTCAAGCAAGGCTGCTATTAGTTATATGATCCGCAGCCTCTCAGGGCAGCTCGCACCTCGGGGAATCAGGGTAAACGGCGTTGCCCCGGCCCTTATCTATACCCCTTTCTTGGCCAGCGCTGGCTTTACCTCGGAGGCAATCGCCCAGGTTGCCGCGTCAAATCCATATGGTCGTATAGAGCAGCCGGGCGAGTTGGCACCGATATACGTCAGTCTGGCCGATCCCTTGGAGACATACACGAGCGGAAATATCTGGTCGGCTAGCGGTGGCGTGCCTGGGCCCGTCTAAAGAATTTTAATGGATGGTTAAACTTATAATATCTTAAGAGGGTGATTCAAATCATGTTAGGGGTGATACGTGAATAATAATATTTACCAATATAGATACTATACTCGATAAGTATATCTATCTACTTCTCGAGCTTCTACATACGATAGGTTCAAACTGTGATGTTGTTAAAGTTCCAGCAGATGATGATGGGTGTCTTATATGGGTTCATAAAGCGAATATGAAATGAATCGAGGCACGAAATGTGGCCAGGCCGGGTTGCAAGATCAAGACACCTATCGCTGGCTGCGGGGAATTATGTAATGATAGGCAAGTGATATCCGAGAGGCAGGTAGCTATATGTATGTTTCCTACTAAATAGTAAGTGCCCTACGAACATTTCCAAACTAAAGGACGTATCGACTGTGTGCTTGTTAGTATATGCCAAATAAAAGGGGGTCCGGGACAACTGACAATGCAAGATTTTCTCTATCAGTAAGATCCAACTGTCTTGCGTCGACTATCTCTTCCCGCCGCTCGCCGCTCTCGTCAATGTGCTCGATGACTCCGACTTCTCTGATAGCGCCGCGTTTATCTAGCAAGTCTCTTCGTTTGTTCTCCTTAACCAAATACCATCTGAGGTAAAGGACGATAAACGTCGGAAGCACACACGCAACCCATAGAATAACCCACCACGTCACAATATACCTGGGCTTATATTGTTCTTGGAATAGCTGAGGCGAGAGAATATTACCCAAACCATACCCGACATGATACAGAGCGATGACGGCCGTCTTCTTCGTATGTCCCGCAGAGCAGTTGGCTGCCCAGATCATAACCACGCTGTAGGGAATACCTCCGGTAGATCTGATCCATATTGCCGACAGAAGACCCCAACGGTTGCTCCAAGGAAGAGCGATAAGAAGTATACTAGAAATAATGGGTGGTATATACGCAGCAGCAGAGAGCCACGCCCGACAGTTGCGCGTCTTCGACAATATTAGGGCGGCAGCTCCAAGCGACACCAGCGAAGTAAGACCGGTGATACAACCCAATAACGTAGTCTGTAGCGTGGTGAAGCCAAACGATTTGATGATAAGCGAGTACTGGTTAGTTAAACCGTTGGCCATCTCTTGGGACCACGCGTGGAGGAAGAAGAGCCAGGTCTTGGGGTCCTTTAGCGCTTCAACTAGCTGGTGGCGCTTGAAACGCTTCTGCTCGATCCCCGAATGGTTCGAAGCGATGCGGAGGATAGCTTGCGCTCTTTCTTCGAGGGTTAAGAAGTGGGCGGACATCGGGTTGTCCGGGAAGAAAAACCAGACGAAGACGCCGTATATAACGGTCAAGCTTCCCGTGATGACTGCGGGAAAGGTGTTAGATAGTTCGCGAGTCGAAGGTGGGAGGCCTACCCATAAACCACTTCCAAGATGAAAAACTACCCGTTTCTATCCACAAAACTCCGTATGACAGCAACCCTGAAGTTATAGGGCTAGAGTTTCCTGCAGCCCACATTATGGGCATCAGAACTGCTTGCTCGTCGTATGTGAAGAACATCGATAGCGTCAATAAGAAAGCAGGCACAATACACGCCTCCGCCAGCCCAAGAAAGAAACGAACGACGAAGAGAGACGCGAAACTATTGCAAGGAATATGTAATAGTAAGATGGAACCCCTATCGGGATTAGCAAGATGTTAACGGGTGATTAAGAACGAACTTACCAGACGACAAGATTCCCGGCTAGCCACTTTGCAACTGGGAATCGCTGCAGAGCCCAGTTTTGAGGCCATTCTGCTAACAGATAACCAAAGTAGAAGATTGATGACAGCCAGTTGTACTGGTTCGAATTTAGATTCGCGTCCTCAAGAATCCCAAGGATAGACGAACTTCCGAGCTAATGGGAGAAGGTAATGTCAGATTCGTAGACTTGCATGCCGACGTCGGAAACCGGAATCCTTACCGTCTGCTTGTCTACGTACATCAGGTGATACCCGACGCAGAGGAACGATAATATCCATCGGACGCTCTTCTTGCGGATTCGCTCAGCCTCCTCGGCAGTAGGGGGCTCAACCTTGACTTGCGAGAAGAGCTTGTAGCTTTCGTCGGCATACTTGTCAGGCAGTTTCGGAGTCTCGAAGACCACCTCAGCTGAGGACGTCTGCTCGACGACCTTGGACGTCATGGTATGAGGCTCAAGCAACAAATGAATACTAAACGGCGAGTAGATGGTACATGTCTAGGTAAAACTTACACGGGTAAATATAAAACAAAACTTCTTGCTATGATATAACTTGAGCTGCGTAACACTCGTCTCGTCAACTCCCACCCAAATGACGAATACATCCTTGTTAACGGGAAATGCTTGATCGAGGTCTTATGGCAATGGTTGATATACGCTAGTTAGGTCTGCCGCAAGAATCGCGACACGCTTGCATGGATAGTTATCGGGGGTTTCCCGAAGCGGCGATGCCATGAGGGGGAATAAGGTCGCTGATTGATAAGATATCGCTTCGCAATATCAGTTGTATCTTGCGCCATCTCGGATCCGTATGGTCGACCACGCAATGCCGACCCCGTCCCGACGGTCAGAGCTTAAGAAGCTGGCTCCGGCTGTACGACAACGTACGGAAAATCATAATTATTCTGTCTTTTGACGTGTATTGTTAGATCATGGCAGACGAATCGAAACTTCAGATCGCAATCGTCGGCGCCGGCATCGCCGGTCTCGGTGCAGCCATCGGACTAAAGCATCACCCCGCTATTGATGTGCAGGTGTACGAAAAAGCTACAGAACTTAGAGAGATAGGCGCGTCTATCGCTCTCGGACCCAACGGAATGAGAACGCTGGAACGACTAGGCGTCGACAACGCTTTGGACGACGAAATTGCTTTCCGTAATAAGTCAAAGTATCCCATGATCTATCGGTGAGCTCGTCCCCCATTATCTTTTAGAATTAGTACCTAGCTAATGGAACATAGCCATTGGAAGACTAACGAGATAATATCAACTGATTCTCACGCCGGCGAAGTCGAGTACCGTCACCTGACCGCGCGCTTCTACCGGGCACATCTCCAGGAAGCACTTGCTAAACATGTTGACCCGTCCAGGATTCACTTCTCTAAGGCTTTCGAATCCGTCACTTTCGATCGAACCATTCGGAAGTTGGTAATCACATTCGCGGACGGGACGACCGCCACGGCTGATATAATTCTAGGCGCGGATGGAATTCACTCACCTGTCAGGACGTTCTTCGTCCCCACGTCCAGCACAGCTTGGACTGGCTGGGTAGCTTTCCGGTCTGTGTTTCTCTATTCTCACGTCGCCCACATCAAGGATCTTCCGGACGAGGCGAACCACTTCTGGGGACCGGACAGGACATTATTCATCTCAAAGCTCGGAAGAGACCTTTTCACCGTGGTCGGATCGTACCAAGCCGACCCCGACGCCCCAGATGCCCCTTACAAGGACTCGACCTGGAACTCGGATGGCGACGTGGACACATTGAGGGACTTTTACAAGGACTGGTCACCGCTCGTGCGACAGATTGTCGACGCGGTACCCAGCACTAGGATTTATCCAAACGCGGCAGCACACCCACTCGAAACGTGGGTATTGGGCAGCGGAAAGGTTACCCTGGCCGGCGACGCGGCTCACGCCCACGGAGGCGCATTTGCCGCAGGCGGTAGCCTCGCCCTCGATGATGCTTGGGCGTTTGTATCGTCGATCTTATACGTGCTGCCCGAGAACGCGACTAGAAAGCCCAACGACGCGGAAATACTCAAAGCCCTACGTATCTACGAGAAGACCCGAAAACCACACACAGATCGCGTAATGAGTGTTGTCCATCAGAATAATAAGAACAAGGTGGCGCGATACTCGCAAGCTAGGGAGCTGGAGACAGACGAGCAACTAAGGACCCGAATAAAGAACCGCGTAGACCCCAGTTGGATTCACGAACATGACGTTCAAGCAGCGTTTGCGCAAGCAGTTGCGGATGAAACCACCGATCAAGTCTCGGCAGGGGAGCAGGCAAGATTGTGATTGCGTTCCTCTCTGAAGCCGTATAGATAAATTACGATGAATTGCCACGACTTTATCTCATGAAAGCTTGTGAATAGCGCGTGTTAAACGACGACGCGAAATCTGCAGCCAAGACATTTAGGAGGTACCTTAGGTACATCCCGGTCAGCGTAAGAAGTACCTACAAGATGTACTCTTCCATCATCAATCAATTGATATCTAATCTTCACGTCATCGCAAATCATTTCATTTTGTTGAAATTGCCCAATAAGGTACCTAAGATCAATGGTATAGCACCTGCTATGATAAGTTCCAAAACGGTTATTATCAAATACCTATCTTGGGAGAATGAGGTCAATAGATGCCAGGTAAAAGCCAACATACCTGCGGCGGAGCAAATTCATAAGACTCGACCAAGGTAAAAGAGTACTCGATTGCGCGATGCCATAAAGTATAAACGTTAACCCTATAGATTCATTTCGTCAAGGTCTCGTCTGACATTTCAACATAGCGCTTTGATTCTCGGTTGGTTGTAACCGAGAATTCGAGTGCTGAGCTTACATCATCCCTAGTTTTCGCGCGCGGATGGAACGTCGATTCTCAAGATGGCGGTCTAGCTAATTATAAACGATTTATTGACTATTATGTCCAAGAGGGGAGTGGCAAGAGGGACTTGATTCGCTGGTTCGTTATCGAGAAAGGGATATAGAGCTGGCAGTGAGCAATTCGATTCCGATGCCCGAGTTCACGAGGGGTTATCGTGTCGGATTCTTTCCATGGCCTGAATAGGAAATTCATTTTTTCGCCTAAATAGGACATGAGGGCATCTTTGCGGTGTGCTATAAGATGTAGCCCGAGTTTACGAAGATTATAGGTTGATTTATATAGGTTGATCACGTGCTGCAGCTGGAAACCTTTGCCTGCAAAGTAATGCGTTAAAGGGAAAAAGGTGCGAGGTTGAGGAATCGAGCTTGGGGATAACCTCGGGCTATTGTGCAGCCTCGGGGGTTGCTTCTTGTTACGGATATTCCTCGACCACCACCACGACCAAAGACTTGCGCCGCATTTGCTACCGCCTCTAGTACGGTTATTTAACTATCTCAAGCCTTCGAGATATTAAGATTCCTATTGGAATTAATTAGCAAGTCATAATTTTCTATCTTTAGTTCCTTGACCTGAAAGTTGATTAGTACTAA